TCTCCTAACACCCCTCCCCCCTCCCTCCCCCGACATACACACACACACACAGGTAGCCACTGAAATCCGTTTAATGACTTCGGAAGCTTGTCGCCATCCCAACTTGCTGAGGGCCCACACCTACGTCAACAGGGCCAAGGTCCTAAACAAGCAACAACCGGTGAGCGGCTACCCAGCCAGCCCGAGGTCCACATCACCACACCCTTCACCCCCCTGGAGCAGAAGCAGCTCAACACCCAGCGCCCTCTCTTCCTGGGCCGCCTTTCCCCCTCCCATGCATGGATACATACATACATACATACATAATACATAATACATACATACATACATACATACATACATACATACATACATACATACATACATACATACATACATACATACATACATACATACATACATACATACATACATACATACATACATACACACGCCTCTCCCCACCTCCACCCCCCAGGCTGGTCAGGCCCTGCAGTCCACAATCCGCAGCCTGGCAGCCCTCACCTCCTCAAAACGGGGGGGAACCAGCGAGCCGCCCGGGGCTGTAGCAGCAGTAGCAGCTACAGGTGCTACTGCTTGTGCGCCTGACCTGGCGGAGACCTGGATCGTATCTGAGGTGTGGGCGTGCATATCTTGGTGGTTGTGTGTGTATGTATGTATGTTGTAATGATCTGAGCCGCGATAAGGAATCCTCCCGGGTGGGATGTGGTTCAGGAACTACTTCACCGAAGCGAGCTCAGTAGTTCAGCGGCGTGGTAGTATAGGATGTGTATGTGTGTGCATATATGTACGTGTATCTGTCGCTTGTGTCAATCTGTACCAACTTGGCCATACGGGGGGACCTTTCAGCACCTGGTGGTCGGTCCCCCGTGCTGCCCAGCTACCCCCCTCCCCCCGCACTGCCCGCGCTCTCCTCCACCCTCACCCCCACCCTCACCCTCACCCTCACCCTCACCCTCACCCTCACCGCAGCAGCGAGTAGCAGTGATTTTCTCCTGACCTCGCCCTCGCACCCTCCCGACATTTCGCCCTCCCGCCCTCTCGGAACGGCCCCCTGCCCTGTCCCCCGCTCACCACCTCTAACCACCTTTAACCACCTCTAACGACCACCCACACCCCACAGTCCTGACCGCGTTCCTGGCTGCGCTTAGAGTTCCCCTGGTTGGTTGGTACATCCATCCCCGGCTTGTGATATAGGGTGGTGTTAGGTGTGGTGGTTTCTTTCGTCCCCTTATCGCCCCTTTCCCCGTCTTCACACACGCGACCCTCCTCGCCGCCGGCTGCTTCCGGCCCCGCAGTACTGCGACCTGGGCGCCCTGTCCGTACACGTCCACGTGGCGAAAAGCTTCCTGTACCCGCTCCTGGAGGGAAACACGTTACCGGAAGCAGCAGCAACTGCAACTGCAACTGCCATAACCGCTGCAACCACCTCAGCCAGAAGCGCCTCAGGGGGCGGCAGCGGGTTGGGCGGTGGTGCTGCGTGTGTGTCGCTTCGTCGGCCTCGTTTGGATCTCATATTGAGGGTCCTTCGAGATATTTCCTCGGGTATGGCTCACCTGCATTCGCTCAACATTGTGCATGGAGGTGAGGTCGGCGGGGTGGGGGGGAGAGAGGGGGTGAGTTACGTGGGCCCCGGGGTTTTGGGGTGTGTGGCGGGAGGGGAATGGAGAGGGGCGCCCGGCAGGGGGAGATGATGGTGGGTCCTACCCTTCACACCGGAGCACTTTGTGCTCTCTCACTTGCCGCACCACTCACTAATGGGCGTGAGCGCACCGCGCGTACCTGCAGGCTTTGTGACTGTGGAGCGGTTGAAGATGAGTTGCATGTTTTCGGGGATTGTCCCGCTTACAAGAGCATACGGGCTAAGTATGATGGTGATCTAGTCTTTAAGGGGCGCAGCATGCGCACCATTATGACTGAGGCGCCACCCCTGGCATTGGCCAGGTACCTCTAAGAAATTTGGGAGGCCAGGCACGTTGCGCTGAGGCGCTTCGCCCTGAAGCGAACGAGGGAGAATGAAGATGACCTCCCGCGTACCCGCATCAATACCAATATAACGTCCATGGCCCCCCCGGCTTTTACGGACACACCCGCACTTGTGTGCGGAACTTGTAACTTGTAACACTCCGCCGTACTGACTTGTTTAGACGATAGGTCAACTTCACGCACCTATACGACAACAACAAACAAAAGACCAATGTACACAAGCTTACGCATTATGTATGTGTGTATGTATGTATGTATGTATGTGGCCCCTGCAGATCTCAAGCTGGGTAATGTGTTGCTGCAGTCCATCAGCGCTGATCCGCAGCAGCAGCAGCAGCAGCAGGCGGAGGAGGAAGTGGCGGCGGCGGTGGGTGGCGCGGGGAAGCCCCTTGGGGCAGGGTTGGCGCGTGCAGTGGAGGGTGGAGTGGGGCAAGAAGGGAAAGATGGAAGGGGGAACAACGTGCTTATATGATGTTCGCACAGCACATGTAATCCTACGGGTGATATACCAGACAGCAACCAGACCTCAGAGGCCAGACGATGCGGAGGGAGACCCGCGGCCTGCGAGGGGTCGGGGGGGGGAGGCTGGGTTAGGGAGGGCGCGAACATGCCCGGCATGCGGTTGAGACGTGATGTGCTAGGGGGGGCCCTTAGGGTAGGCGGCTTGCCCACGTGTGTGTGGGGGGGAGCTGAGAAGTGTGGGGGGTAGAGATCTCCTCCGCCGCGCAATATCACCACCCGACATGTAAGCATGGGGGATAGCACAGACAGACAGACAGACAGACCCCGGGTGTTAGATCCTTGCCCCAAACTTCCAGCTCACATTTCCCCGCACGGCGAAGGAAATGATAACAGTCCTTGATCTCCCCCCGCCCCATACACACACACTGCTGCCCTCCCCTGTTTTGTGTTCCTCCCCGTCCACCACCCCACCCCAGCTGCCCCCGGCTGGTGACACCGCCGCCGCCACCGCCACAGCCACCGCCACCAGCGCCAGCAGCAATGTCAACACCTCCGCACTTCTGAGTCGGGGGAGGGAAGGTGGAGGGGGGGATTCGCTCCCTAGCCAGCTTATGGCCAAGGTGAGAGCGAGGGTGGGTGGGTGGTGGAGGGAGGAAGGAGCGGAGAGGGGCATGAAGGGGAAACTGGGCAGTTGCAGCAGACATACAATTTTCCCCGGACAGGGGCCTTATCCTCCTCCCCTCCCCTGCCGCCGACCTCACGCGTGATGAGCTAGCTCTCCCACCCCCCTTCGCCCCGCTCCCGTCCCCTTGCAGCCAGTAACCCCCCCAGTGTGCCCCCACATCCCCCCCTTTGTACACTACACTCCCACGTGATGGTGATGGTGATGGTGATGGTGATGGTGATGGTGATGGTGATGGTGATGGTGATGGTGGTACTGCCCCTGCCCCTGCATTTCCACTCCTTCCGAACCCGCTGATGCGATGTGGGTGCTGTCGCCATTGCATCGCGCAACAACCGCTCCGTCCTACGTAATTCCTGGCGGCCGTACTGCCACCACCACCACCACCACCTCCACCACCGTGCATCCTGATGTACTGCTTGCTGACCCTACCCTACCTGGCCACTACCGCTACTGCCGTTACCACTGCTGCTGTGCTCGTGACCTTCCAACCCCCAACCAGGTGGCGGACTTCGGTCTGAGGTGGGGCCTGCAGATATGTGTTTGTGTGTGTGGGGGGGGGGGAGGAGAGGGGCCTGGTGGTTGAGAGGGGAAGGGGGGAGGCTGCCAGCACCCCCACACGGTAGTACGACACTTGCTCCGGCCTTCCCATGACCCCTGAACCCCTGAAGGTTCCTGACCCGCACCCACATGTACATCTACATCTACATCTACAAACCATGTGTTGTGTGCTGTGTATAGATCATGCATTCCGCCATTCATGTTCGAATGTGTGCTTGTGTCTGTATGTGTGTCTGTCCATGTAGTCGCTGCCTGAAGGAAGGTCAAACCCACCACTCCACAAAGACGGTGGGAACTGTGACCCACATGCCCCCCGTGAGTGCGGGCGGGGGGCGGAAAGGGAAGAGAGGGGGAGGAGAGGGGGGGATCATAGGCGAGAAATGCAGAAATAGAGGGGGGGAAGGGGTTAAACATGCTGGTGGGTAAGGCTATGCGAGCTGGGATGAGCGGATTTAGGGTTGTCAAGAAGTGGCGAAGGTTGCCTTACCCCCCGGGTTGGGCTGGGCTGGGCTGGGCTGGGCACGTTTTTGGTGTGTGGGTTAGCGTGCCGTGTATCGTACAGTGGCACAGGGCTGGTACTGCTCTTAGCACAGAACCCGGGTCTTGTCATTACAACTAACTACCAGAACCGACTTCAACGACCCTCACGAGCTCAGGAGCTTCTTCGCAGTGGGAAGCTGACGCTCAGTGGTGACGTATACAGGTACGACTTGCCGTACGTTTCTGTTTGTTTGGTTGCTTGTTCCTATGTGGTTGGGTGTGATGGTAGGTCGTCAATTCAGATCTAGAGGACCAGGCTTGAACTGAACCGTATTGAGCTAAACACGCCGTGGCGGACCTCTCTCTCGGGGCCAGACATGGGCAAACGCTTCGGGAGTGTCGGGCCCTACCGAAACTCCAGAAAACAGAAATAGAGTTCCCGAAGCCGGCCGGCTTGCAGAAATAGGATCATGCGCTGTATACGAATGTCAAACTATTGCAAAACACGCATTTTCATTCCGCGGACTTGTTACAGACACTGTACTGGAAGACAGAAATAGACCCGTTCCCGAAACCAGAAATACCCTGTTTGCCGATATCCTCTCGGAGAACCGGTTGTAGCTAGTGTACCTCTTAAGTTGGTTTCTTCCGGTTATGCGGCTACTGCTGTTAATAACCGCCTTTGTCTGGCTTTTGTGAGTATGCGAAAGGTTTCAGGCCGCGTCCCCAACTCCCCACTGACCGACCCCGCCTCCCAATACCACCTCGCCACTTCCTCCGCGCCCCTGACCCCCCCGCCCCGTTTTACCTTGCCGTGTTCTCCCGTACACGACGTACGACTGCAGCTTCGGCATCATGATGTGGGAGCTGCTTACTGGATCCGTTCCGTACAGGGTGCGAACTGCCGTACGATCCTCCGTACTGATGGACCGCTTGTAGGACAAGAGGGTGGAGGGGTTCGGCGGGGTGGAGGAGGGGGCCGGGTCTTGCCTGGGCCTCAATGCCCCCGTCTGTCTGGTAAGGCTCCCTCACGCA